TCAGAGGGGGTTGGGGGTCCTTTGCCCAGGCATAAGGCCTGGGCAGGGGTGGAGCTGGTGATCTCTGGGCTGGGGCGGAGCCAGTGATCAGAGGGGGCAGGGGCGGAGCCGGCGATTGGAGGGGGCTGGGGGTCCCCTGCCCAGACCAGAAGCCTCGGCCAGAGGCCTCAGGCCTGGGCAGGGGCGGAGCCGGCTCCTAGGGGAGCAGGGAGTGGGCCTAAGCTGACAGTAGGACATCCCCTGAGGGCTCCCAGTATGTGAGAGGGGGCAGGCTGGGCTGAGGGACACCCCTCCCCCCCCAGTGCATGAATTTCGTGCACCAGGACCTTAGTATATTAGAAATCCCTAAGGAATCCACAAAAGATTATTCAAGTTAATAAATGGATTCAATAAAGTTTCAGGATACAAGACCCTCCCCCCCACACACAAAAGTTGTATTTCTATAGACTAGCAATGAAAAATCCAAAATGAAATTAATAAGTCTATTTAAAATAGCATCAAAATAAATAAAATACACAGGAATAAATTTAGACAAGGAGGTGCATGACTTGTGCACTGAAAACTATAAAGAATTGCTGAAAGAAATTAAAGATGACCTAAGAAATGGAAAGATATCAGCACTCATGAATTGGAAGTCTTAACATTGTTAAGATGGCAATTCTAACCAAAGTTATTGACAGAGTAAATGCAATTGCTATCCCAATCCCAATGATTTGTTACAAAAATGTAAAAGCCAATCCTAAATTCAAATGGAATTTTAAGAGACTTTGAATAGCCAAAATAAACTTGAAAAAGGAAAAAAAGTTTGAGGACGCACACTTCCCTATTTCAAAACAGCATAAAGCTACAATTATCCCAACGATGTGGCGCTAGCATAAGGATAGGTAATTAGATTAATGGAATAAAATTAAGAATCCACAAATAAACCCATAATGCTATTCATGCATGTATACCCCTAAGAACTGAAAACAGGTATTCAAATGGAACCTGTTCTAGAATGTCTATTGCAGCTCTATTCACAATAGCCAAAAGGTGGAAATTACCCAAACATCCATCAACTGAGGAACTAATTAATGCACAACATGTAGTTCACCCATTCAATGGAATATTATTCAGCCACAAAAAAGGAATGAAGTGCTGATTCATGCTACCATGTGGTTGAATTATAACGAGAACATTAAGCTTAGTGAAAAAAGCCAGACACAAAAGGCCAACTATTTATTGTATGATTCCTTCTCTAGGGAGTTTCTAGGATAGGTAAACCTCTATGGACAGGAAGCAGGTTCATGGTTGCCTGGGGTCTAAGGGAGGAGGAGAGGCCATGTCGGGGTGGGGAGAAGAGGAGGGCAGTGGAAGTGAGTGCCACACAGGGTACAGGGGTTTCTTTTTGGGGAGGTTCCAACGTTTTGGAAGTAGATAGGTGTGCTGGCTGTCCAACATCACCAGTTATACCTGGTGCCACTGGATCCCACATGTTTTTTCTCTACAACATTCCTGTCCAGTGGACAGTGAGAGTTCCCTCAAAGAGAGGGTCCCATGGCAAGGGTGAGCAGGGAGCTGCCAGCACCCCTTCTTTGCAGGCCCCGGCCCACCAGGGCCAATGGGAAAGCAGTGACCTCACAGAACTTATGTGTCATACAGCCTGTACCTGGACCAATGAGGGGTCGGTCCATGGTCGCTAGGATACAGAGCAGGAGCCTCTGTACTGGCCATCTTGAGCGGTTGAGACCAACTGGCATCTTCCTGCACTTGACCGCACTGAACCGCACCGCAGCACGCCACAGCGCACTGTAGATCCAGGCGGGTCGGAGACAGTGCACCCCAGCACCCATCATGTCTGGGCAAAGGAGCCGCGGAGGGTCTTCTGATCACCAGAGGCGGAACCGCACCCGCAGCCGCACCAGCAGAGCTGAATTGACCTTCTCCGTGAGCCACCTGGAGCACCTCCTGCGGGACGGCCACTACACCCAGCGTCTCAGCGCCAACGCACCCGTGTACCTGGCGGCCATCATCCAGTACCTGACGGCCACGGTCCTGGAGCTGGCGGGCAACGAGGCCCAGAAAATCGGCTGCAGGCGCATCACCCCGGAGCTGCTGGACATGGCGATCCACAACAACGCACTGCTCAGCGGCTTCTTTGAGAACACCACCATCTCCCAAGTGGCCCCGGGCAGGCGGTAGCTTCCCAACATGACCTGGGCTCCCCGGGCCTCGGCCCACTCACAGCCCAGGCAGCCCGGGCCTGTCTGGCGCCTTGGGCCAAGTTATTGAAAATAAAGTGTTGAAGGAAACCCATGTGCCTGCTTCAGTCACTCTGTGTGGGAGGTGGTTGGAGGGATGGGCTGGTGGTGGTGTGTTCCTGGGGGCGGGGGTGGAGTCGGGGATGACAAGAGAGGAGCAGCCCCCCATGGTGACAGTGCAGGGGGTGGTCCAGGGTGGGAGAGGCCGGCTGGGTGGGGGTAGGCTGGGGTCTGGAAAACTCCCCCATCGTCTCTGAGCAAGTCAGAGCCTGGCAAGGTCCCCAGAAGGCTGGTGTTCACTGGGGTGGAGTGCAAGACCATGACTCAGGCATCGTGATAGGGTGAAGGTGCAATGCCAACCCGCCTGCAGAATGGAGGGGTGGACAGAGTGGTTGGCATCGACTCCCATGGGGCAGTGGCTTTGACGGAAAGATTGAGGTCTGATGCGGGGGCGGAGGGGAAGACAAGAAGAAAGACGCAAAGTCGGAATGAGGGTCATGCGGGATCACGAGTTTAGTTTTGATCCTGTTCCTTTAGACATGCTGGAGACACCCTTAGCAACATGTGTAAACAAGCTGTCACCTAGCAACAGAGGGCTTGCGTCCAGGCCCCGCCCCAGGACCCGTGATTTGTTTATGCTCTTTGCACCAGGCCAGGCCCCGCCCCAGGACGCCGATATTTTGCATATCACCACGACAACCAGGGGGCGCGGGGCTTAGGTGCGGGAGCCTGCGTGCTGCCCGGCTGAGCCGGACGCAGGGCACCTTGCAGCCAGCTTCC